TATTAGAATGAGATGGACGGCGGATTATCAATGTCTTCTTTATATATAGAATTTTAATACATTTATTCAATTATTAATATAACTAATTAGATTAACTATTCAAGTTTGAGTAATTTTTCCTTAATTTTTGAAATTTTTAGAGTATCATGAATTTGATTTAATATATTGATTTTTAATTATTATTTAGAGATAAACATTATGTAGATTCAATTGGTAACAACTTCCCACAAATAAAAATACAAACTAGCTAATTAGGTTGCGGCGGGGCGGACCCGCCCTGCCCCGCCCCGCATGGGGCGGGTCATGGGTCAACAAATTTGGACCCGTGCAGGTCACGGGGCGGGGCGGACCCGCCCCGACCCATTGCCATGCCTAGCTGCCAGTTGCTAGGCGTGCGACTAGGTTGCGGAAAGGGTAATTGCTACTCTATTTAAAAAAAAATAGAAGTTTTGGTTGCCGAAATGGGTCTCCTGCTCCATTTAATAAAAAACTTTATGGTAATATAGGAAATAATTAATACTGTACAATATAATAATAGTATAATTGTTATTGGTAATTCGAATTTAGTTTAAAATAAACTTTAGTATGAATTTTTTAGTAATAAAAAATTGATTTTTTTTACATCAGAATGTTCAACTTTTTAAATAATAATTATTTCTCAAATAAGTTTTGTCAAGTAAATAATGTGTAATAATAAAAGTAAGGAATTATGAATTTAATTAAAAAAACACCGTGTTAGGTTAATATATTGACGGTGCTGGGTTGCAGGGAAAAATTGGATTGACTGAGTGAATACGTATAAACTAGTGGGGATTTAGATTTATTGACGGAGAGGGTTGCGGTTAGCCTAATAAAATACTCCCTCTGTCCCACTAGGATCTTCCTTCTTTCCTTTTTTAGCAGTCCCAAAATGAAGTTATGCTTTCCCTAAATGGAAAGTTATCCTACATCAAAGCAATGTCAAACAATGCAAAACACTGTCAAACCGTGCCAAACAGTGCCAAACAGTGTCAAAAAAGTAAGTTTTACCCTCTGATAAGTTTATTTCCTTAATATGTGTGTAGGTCAAACTAAGAAAATCTTAGCGGGACAGAGGCAGTATTAGATTATGTCTTTAGAGAAAGTACTTATATTTTCATTCCTATGTAGAAATGTGTCCTATTTTTTTTTTTATCAAAATAAAAGAAGCTACTGTTTTTAATTTTTATTCAATATGTAATCATACTTCTCTCATCCCTGCTCTATGAATTGTCAATCATCTTTCTCGCTCAATAACCCGTTACTTTTCTTTCTTCTTCCGCCGCCATCCTCACTCCCAGTTGCTATTCTTTATTCTTCTTCCGCTGCCATCCATTCTTTCTTGCTAATCGTTCTACATTTTGTGTTTTGTCTTCTTGGTTTTACTTTGTTCGTTACTTTTACTGTTAGTGAGTTTATTAGTGGGTTTACTTTCGTCTTCTTGGTTTTACTTAGGGGTGGACTGGCAGGGACGGATCCAGGATTTCGAGTCAAGGGGGGCGAAATTTTTTCATTAGTGTAGGGAGTGAAAAAATTTCGCTAGTAAGCGTAACGGGAAAAAAATCGCTAGTGTAGCAGGGCGAATTTTTTCGCTAGTGTAGGGCTCTGTGGCTAATTTTTATTTAAAAAGTTCCATTAGTACATACTACATACACGATGGCAATTAAATCTATTATATTCTAATTCTAATTTTAGACAATGAAAATATAACTTTGATTTAATAACTACAAGTGCTCCAGAAAAAATATTGATACATTAAAGCTTAAGAAATGACAAATTAAAGAAAAATTATTTGAAAATAAGAAAGGATATGATATACTACCTCCGTTCTCTTTTAGTTGCAACATTAGACTTTTTACACTATTCACATGTTCTACTTTGACTACATTTTATCAATTGATGTATAATAAATTAAATTTTTAAAAAATATTGTTAAATTCTTCTCATTCTAAATTTTCAAAATATGAATTTTTTAATTTTTTACTAATAAGGAATAAAAAATATTAATGGTCAAACTTGTGCATTGACAAACGTGAAATGTTGACTGTTGCAATTAAAAAGGAACGGAGGAAGTACGTAGTATAACATTTTATGATATTATTTGAAGGTAAAGTGGTTAAAGTTAAAGGTACACATCAACCAATGTTTTTTAAGTAACTTATGTCTTGTTTAACCACATGAATCTTAACAGGATAAAGAATTGGTTTTTGAATTGAGATTTTTGTCTACCAAGAAGGGTATTTGTGGGTCATGATGAGTTTTCTTAATATTACAATAGTATGTATGAGATTATTATACTTAGAATAATATGATACGTAGTAATGTTAATTCATATATATATGGTGCATATTATATTTGTATTAATGCGAAAATAAGTTAAAGTATTATCTATTCAACAAATTGTTTTTAGAAAGTAAAAGGTAAATGAAATGTGTAATTTAATGTCAACAAACATTTATACTATTTAACTATTGTATCTGATATTCAATATGTTTTGATATCTTACAAAATCCAGTACTAATTATCTAATAAAGGTAATTAAACATTACAAAACTAAGAATTTTTTGGTACCCTAAGTCTTAAACAACGAGTTCTATTGTTTATTTGTTTAAGTTATGTAAATTATTTTATATTCTACTTCTTTTAAATCTCCAATTGAGCATTGCATTATGTGAGCCTATATATTAATTTTGAAAACTAAAAGTTAAGGGGGGCGAAAACATATATACCTAATTAAAGTATGAAAATTTTATGAAAATATTATATATATAGTAGAAAATTTTGGAAGTCCAAGGGGGGCGGTCGCCCCCCCGCGCCCCCCCCTTGGATCCGTCCCTGTGGACTGGGCCGGGCCGAACCGGCCCGTGAACCGGACCAGCCCGCTACTGTGCGGGCCCGGACCGGACCGGGACCGGTTGGCCGGTTCCGGGCTTTTAGCCCGTGTGGGCGGGCCGGGCGGGCCGGGCTCGGGCCCTCTTTTTGTTGAACCGGCCCGGGCGGTTCGGGTCGGGCCCGGTTCATTTTTTTTTGGTTTTTTGAATTTCTTTTTCTTTTCCTAGGGTAGGGTTGGGTGTTTTGGGGAGGTTTGGGGGGTGGGGGGTGAGGGGGGGTCGGAGGATAACAAGAAAGCCAAAAAAAAAAATTAAACATTGAACAGGGCCCGGCCCGGACCCGGTATCAACCTGGGCCGGTTCCGGGCCCATGTAACTGGAAAAAAAGCCCGCCCGGGCCCGACCCGGAACCGGAACCGGACCGGCCCGGGTCCATCCCTAGTTTTACTTTTCGTTACTGCTAATTGTTTTACCTTTATATGTTTTTTTTCTTCCTTTTTTTCTTTATATATTAATAATGAGCACATTAGAAATGGACTTTATTTTAAACTCAAATAAGTAAAACGTCTAAAAAGAATGAACATACACAATGAACTTCTGAATTTTTGAAAACTCGTTTTGTAAGTTATGTATGTCCATTTAGTACCTCTGTTATGTTCATTTTAAAATGTTATATCAAAGCATATTTCAAAAGTCTCATACTACATTATTTTCACATAGAAGTTGATTATAAACATGAGACCACAAATCATGATACTCAATCGCACGATTGTCTTACTCAATAATAGAGATGTGATGCTCACTGAAATTGTGTTGATGCTCAACAAACAAAACTTACACTTTTTATATAAATGTTCATCTTGTAATTCACATATGCTCATTTTTACAAGTTTGATGTTCATTAAAAATTCATTAATGAGCATTTAAAAGAAATCGTGATTTTCATCGATCTCAATAGAGGATGTTTGATACTTAATGAAAATGTCGTGATGTTCAATTAACAAACCTTAAACTTTTCATACAATGTGCATTTGGTAAGTTACACATGCTCATCTGGTACTCATCTTATGCTCCTTTTCTGAATGTCATATCAATGCATTTTTTAAAAGCACTATTTTCATTAGATTCACATATTGAAATTCGTAGGAGTTGATTATTAATATAATTTAATAAGTATCATATTGCTCATTTAGCGAAACCCGCGATTTTTCGTTTAAATTACAAAAATGCCAACGAAAAAAATGAGTTGTATTAGTTATTGGGCTTTCTTCTTTACTTGTGAGGGCCGCGGGGTGTACATACACCCGAATGTATGATATAGGCACCAGTGTAGTCCAGTACTACTACGTATTTACATTAAAAAAATACCGAGTACCTTGTAAAATGATTAGTAAAAGTTGGTTTAAGAAAGTACCGAGTAAACATAAGGGCAAGTTAATTTAAAAAAGTACCGAGTAAACATAAAGTGTCGCATGGCAGATTTGTGGCACTGCTATGGTGCATTTGGAAGCGCCGAAACAAGGTGATTTGGGAAGAGAAAGGGCAGGAGGCTGCAGCGGTTGTCAATATGGCAGACAACATGGTTATAAAATGGAGAGATGCACAACAGGGGGGTCGGGCCGTGGCAGTTGGTGCGCAGCAAGAGGGAAGAGGAGGTGGTGGTCAGGTGGGCTCGGCGACAGGGAAGTGGCAAAGACCGGGGAGGGGATCTATTAAAGTGATCGTGGACGGTGCTACAAACCAAGTTACAGGAGTTCGTGCATGGGGATGAATTGCAATGAATAATGAAGAGGAATTTATTAGAGCACAGGGTGTTTATGTTCAGGCTGAGTGGTCTGAAGAAGAAACAGAGGCCATGGGAATTCGAGATGCTCTTCAGGAAGCGATTTTAGCAGGGTGGCAAAGAGTGGAGATTGAAAGCGATGCTCAAACAGTGGTACAAGGCCTGAAATGGCGAAGTGGAGGATCTTACTTGCAACTCATTATGGATGATATTTCTTTCTTGCTTGAGTAAAAGAGTTCGTTTAGTGTCTCTTTTTGTAAAAGATCTGCGAATCATGTGGCTCACTCCTTGGCTAGAGCTCATGTTAGCTCACGAGGTCATTGTGTTGAATATGAGGTTAGTCCTGATTGTATTAATAGACGTTTGGCTGATCTTCTAGATTAATAATATTGGGGGTTAGACGATCAAAAAAACGTAAGGGCAAGTTACAAATTGCAACTGAACATTTACCTCGTAACAAACATCAAAATCAATTTTTAACTACACAATATGCAATGAAGAATATCTCCACGCAAAGCAACACCAAAGCTGCAATCGCTCCGTCTCTTCTCGCACAGTGATAGATACGGCGTACTTTCCTAGTTGATTGGGAGTTAGCGTACCGATTCAGGTGCTTCAATCTTCGGATCTTCCAATTTCTATCTGCGCGCTTCCTTCCCTGAATCAGATGGCCAATTTGTATGTAAGGGCGGCGCCGCCGACGGATCTGAATCGAAATACGGAGTGGTTCACGTATCCAGGGGTGTGGTCTACCTACATCCTCATCCTATTCTTCTCGTGGCTCGTCGTCCTTTCCGTCTTTGGCTGCTCTCCCGGCATGGCCTGGACAATCGTCAATCTCTCTCATTTCGTCGTACGTATATGTTTATAATATAATAATAAACAGTTTAACTGATATTTCGCGATTAGTCGGATATTTTCCGGTTATACTGATCTACTTCTCTCTTTATGCTAATTGGTGGGTATGTCTTTGTAATTAGAGGCTTGGACTTGAGAGATTGTAGTTGAAGCTTGTTATTAGTGGATGTTATTAGTGGATGTGGATTTTACTGAATACTCTACTGTGAAACCTAATTGCTTTTTAGTTTTATGTAATCCCAGAAGCTTGATAAAAATCCTTCTTTGGAATAGAATTGAATGCAATTTCATGTAATTGAATATAATTTTTGTTACTCCGCACATGTATGTCTTAACCCGTAATTATTCCATTAGGCTCTCTAAAGGTGTTGTCTTTGGGGGAATATGTGATCCTCTATAATGGACTAAAGGAAAATTCATTGAATGGGCATTAATGTGCATCTCTCTTAGATTATCACTACTTTTATTTCTTCTTTCATGCAGATAACATATCATTTCTTTCACTGGAAGAAAGGAACACCTTTTGCAGATGATCAGGGTATTTACAACAGGTTGACTTGGTGGGAACAGATAGACAGTGGCAAGCAGCTCACACGCAATAGAAAGTTTCTTACAGTTGTCCCTGTCGTACTGTGAGTATTTTCTTCACTGCTCTGCTTTTTTTAGGCTGACATACAAGGCCTAGTGTTTGATGTCTCTCACTCTCTTGTTAGATTCAGCAATTCAAATAGTTGGAGTGGTGGATAGAATATAAAATTATTACTTACGGGTATATTTTCATGAATTTATGAAAAATTTGCCTTACTTCTGAAGTGCCTTATCTCAAGGCATGCTTTAAATGATTTAAGGGCTTAGCGTTTGATGTCTTAAAATTTAGGCCTTATTGAATAATTAGGTTCGCAGCAGTACTGTGGTAGTTAATAGTTACTCCACAAAGGGCAAGCTTGGATATGGTTTTGTGCGCTAGTGGAATGGTGTGGTTTAATGCATAGAAACAGGGGACCTTTTGCACTTTTGGGTTTTGGCCCTTAGTCTAGCCTCAGTCGGACTTGTGGATTGAATTACTCTAAGCAAGTCTAGGAATAACTATAAGTGTGTAGGAGTAAGAATCCGTAATGCATGTGCTAGTCTTAGAGTACTGCTCTATTTTCCCACTTTGATGGTCCATGTGAATACTGTTATAAAGCCTGTCATGGAGATCTGACGTAAGTTAACAAGTGATGGAAGTCATTTCGGACTGGGCTCCTCTCCATTGAGTAGTTTTCTAGTGGGAGAGAGAGCGAGAGAGAAAAGGAGGTGAGGTAGGAAAAACAAAAAAGTGAGATGAGATTTATGATGTGTAGGGGGATACTAGTGAAAAAGAATTTTAGTTTTAGAAGGTGCGAGGCGGGATGAAAAGTTTATGTTAAATCGAGTCGAGGAGTGAGGCGGAGGCACCTCATGAAACTTAGGCATATAGCTTTTCTAAACAACACTTGTGCTTTTTGTACACAACATTTTCTACCCAAAATTATTGATAATATCATAAAAATACATATGTCATTAAACAAGCATATTGAACACTAAATTCAGTCACAAGATTATATTAAGCCTTCTAGTTTTAGGACTATCAAAAAGATTACAAAATCAGTAATTTAAAGGCTTGTAGTTACATATTGGAATTATAATGTTAGTTTTGGTTTTCTGGGAATACAAAACTAGGCATGTAACACATATACTCATACATACAAATTGTAGTAAGGCTTAAGCAAGTGATTTTCTTATTAAAAAGAAAGGAGAACATGAGGACATGTATATGTAATGGGAACAACAAAGCAGGAGAGCATGTGTCAAGCATAACAGAGCACTAGGAAAATAAAGGCATTAAGAGAAGAGTGGGAACATAGCAAGAGATTAAAGAGGAAAAGTGGGAAATTAGGAAGAGATCAAGAGAAGTTCAAGAAAAAGGCACATAAAAAACATACATGAAAGAGGGTGCAATTATGATGCAACTTGCGAAGAGAATGGGAAGAAGTTGATTTGTGATAAAGAAGAAGAGATGAAGTAGTCATGGACTCCGGAAAGTACACGACCTTTTTTTTAAACCCAGTGGGGATCCACCTAAGTCGGTGGGGTAAATGCTGGGGAACTTTAACCGGATATTAGAAAGCGATAATGGGAAAATACACTGGGGGACCAAACCTGACCCATAACTAGTTTTTTACAGAAATAAGGGAAGCCTAAAGCATCAGAAATAATAGTTTTTAAACCAAGTGATGTAAATCGTTAATGTTAAAAAAAGAAAGTACATTGTTGTCCGACTTCACAGGATAAGTCGCTGCAATGTAGTGCGCTGACCAATTAGCCTCTCATAGGATAAGATTAAAGGAAACCTTACCTCTTCTACTGTCTGGTCGAATTTCCACCAGAAGATTTTTACACGACCTTTTATTTAAATATGATTCCATAAAACTTGCGGCAAAGAAATTGTCAAATTGATGACAATCTCTTAGGCGGCTGATGCACTCGCCTCTTGATGTGTGAAAGTCGGAAAGAAGTGAGGAAGTCGCACACTCTATGGAATCTGCTACACCCATGTTAGTTGTTGAAATTTGTTGATCATTACTCTATGCCACGCCTTGCGCCTACTCATGCCTGGTGCGTGCTTTTTAAAACAAAAAAGGATTGGTGATGGAGAGGATGAAATGCAGAGGAGCATGAACCATTCATTCCCTGTGGCAATAACTTAGTCACCCAGGTGCTATTTTTCTATACCTGTGTGCTTGTTGTACTACATATACGAAAATGATATGAATGGGATTCATTAAGTAAAATGTAAAACACGATCTATAATCATCTAGCTATGAAAATAAAGAAGCACATGTGGGATGAAGGGACACATCATCATCTATAGGTATGGATTAACTTTGTGTTGAATCAATGAGATGGCGGTGCTTCTTACTGGCTTGTTGACTATTGCTAACAAGTGGTCACTGATGGATAATTTTTTTATTTTTTGTTATATCCGCTCTTAATTTCATGCGTAAGAACTGTTAGTTTAATAGCGGGTCCTGAATGAGGTAATCTTCCAAATCTTAATCAGTGTAGATTGCAATTGTGTCAAATATGTTGATGGAGTTAAAAGTTACAGGTTTCAGAAAAAAAGTGAAGAGATATTGTTTAAACAAAGCCTGTTTCGTCCGGGTAATTTTTTTACTGGAATACTCAAGTAAATGATTTAAATTTTCTTAAATTGTGACTGTGTTTACTGACTTACTGTTTAACTTATAATTGTATTTTAAAAATATTCAAATAAATTAAAGAAAAAATATCAAAAAATGAAATTAAAAGGTGTCATTTAGTTCATCTCAGCAACACAAAAACTTCTAAGTTCTAATAGGAGTGCTTTATGTTGTGTGACTTGTGTCATATAAGCTATATAGCTGTCAATTTGAGGTAGTCCTAGTAAAAAACCTTGGTGGATTAGGCTGGTCAGGGAAACAATCAAGCTACCAAACTGGCACTAAAACTGGTGAATAGTTTACAGCAGCAATGGTAGTTTATACTCCCTCAGTCCCAATTTGTAAGATATGTTTCCTATTCACTTGGTCAACACAAATCACTCTTAATCTCTTACTTTATAAATCAAATTTTATCAAATTTGATTCTGGTTTTTGCGACATTGTAAAGCTTTTAATGTAATTCTGAATACGTAATTTTTTTTCTAAATATATTTTGAGTGCGGACAGGGATCTGTTTGTTTTATCGTTGGTCAAACATCGTAAACCGTAAAATATCTTACAAAGTGAGACGGAGGGAGTATGATTTATTTAAAAAGAAATACAGTGGGATTTTCACCAAATATTGTCATTCCGGGGCTATGTCCCAAAATTAATTTGACAATTTGACTTTTGTAGTCAACATTCATTCACTTTGATCATGAATTATTCATATATTGTACTCCATATCATTTTTAATGAAAGTTTTTTTGACCTAGTTGTTTAAGATGGAGTATATAAAAATTTGAAAATGTGAAGTCATTTTAGTTTGTGTTATTATATAACTATAAAAAAAATGGTGGTGAAAGAAATAAAGGCCAAGGACATGAAAGTCCAGTTGTGAAGTTCATTTTGGAGAAGGATGTGGTAAATTTTACTACTTATTTGTACAGGAGTACTGTCCCGCAGTATATTTTAAGACCCTACTGGAGCTGTCACACAGTTTAAATTGAGAGTCCAATATCAGTTTCTCCTTATGTATTCACATATGCATAATGCACAATTGTACAAGACTAAATGAAAATGCAGTTATTATTTGAAAAAGTGAACGCCTGGCTGTATTAGATTTCCTCAATCTCCTGAGCATGGAAATGTTTCTATTGTTTGTTTTTGTTTTGGGATGGACAGGTACTTAATAGCGTCCCACACAACTGATTACCAACACCCAATGCTGTTTCTCAACACAGTAGCAGTTTTTGTACTGGTGGTTGCAAAGTTTCCACATATGCACAAAGTTCGCATCTTTGGGATTAATGCTGATCAGTGAGCTGAGTTCCACCCAAATATGAATTTCCAATTTGCTCTCAAGTGCAGCACTGTTGATCTTGAATGACTTCCTGGGCAAATTGACAATATCCCCTGTACAGATGCATATTTCAACAAACAAGGATTATAGTATCTGTAAAATTCAAGAATGTCTTGTGTGGCGTTCTTTATAACGAAGTCTCTTTGTAGCTATGGAACTGTTGAAAGATGAAAAACTCCAACGGTTTAAGCAGTTTTATTTTTCCAAATATTTGATCAAAGGGGACTAGAAATATAGTAGACCAGTAGCATTTTGCACCCATTTGCTGATAGTCTCAACTAGTGATGGACCCGGGCCGGGTCAAGGCCCGGTCGGGCCTCGGGTCTTGTAATGGTAGGCCCGGGACCGGCCCGGGCAATGGCCGGTTCCGGTTCGGGCCGGGCCACCCGTCCGGGTCACGGGTCGGGCCACCCGCCGGGCCGAGCCGGGCCAGTATTTTTTTTAATTAATTATATATTATACAAATTCCTATTAAAAACAAAGTTCAAGTGCATTTATTTGAAATAAGAACTACATTTGAGAATTGAGAAAAAAATAACAATACGAAATACATTTTCTAATGAATATCAATTGAGATTTCCGCCACCGTTGGTTGTTTTCCCTTTGTCACAGGACTTCATATGTTTTATTGGCATCCCGTGTCCGTATGAACGCCCCAAGCAACACTCTTTCTTGCATCACCTGCAAGTTGCTCACCACTGTCTGGTCTTCGGGTCCTTCCACTTGTCAAAATTGTTTTGCATAAGGGAAGATGTACTTTCCATATTTAAAATGGTATATGTATAAGTAGGAATGTAGGATAATAAGAGAAGATGAAGATGGAGAAGAGTTGGAGAAGAATTGGAGAAGAGGTGTAGAAAAATGTTAGAAAATAGATGTATTTATAGATGTTTTTGAACCCCACTCCCCACACCACCACCCCCGGGACCCCCCTGCCCCCCACCCATAGCCCCAACGGCTATATAGCCGTTTGGGAGGTTTGATTTCATTTTTTTTAAGTTATACATATTGTAAAATAAATTAATTAATTTAATGAATTAAGTAAAACTAAAACTATTTGTACTTAGAAAAGTGGTTTGATTTATAATTTACAAATGTTACAAAATAGGTGTATAAGTATTTAAACAAATTACATATTGTAAATGTATTTTTAATTTAAAAACCGGCTTTATATTTTAGAAAAATAATTTTAAGTCGTTAGTTTGTAACCAAATAATTAATTTGAGAAGTGCTACATATGAAAAAGTGAACACATATTTATTTGAAATATGAAGTACAAGTTTACAAATTAATTTGAAGTACAACTACAAATTTACAATTTTGAAATATGAAGTACAAGTATAAATAAATTTGACAAGTGCTATAAAATACATTTTATAATAAATTCTAAAATACTAATCAATCGGAATCTCCGGCATAGGTAGAGCCACCATCGGTTGTTGAGTCATCCATAAAATCTTGGGAGGGGGTGATGCTCATTTCTTGAGTTCTACGTGCGGCCTTCAACCAATCGTGGTAGCATATAAGCGTCTCAAGAGACTCCGCGCTCAATCTCGATCTAGATGCCGTTAGGACGTTGCCGGCCGAACTAAATTCTTGTTCCACAGCAACTGTTGAAATCGGCATTGATAGTACTTGCTTAGCCATCCGTGCTAAAATCGGGAACGTTCTTTCTTTTGACTTCCACCAGTCTAGAACGTCAAAGTCATCATTTTCTTCAAAATCAACTTCATATGTTAAATACAAAGTAATCTCATTCAATGCACTTTGTTCAGTGACGTGAGTTGTTTTTGTTTTTTTCATAAGATTGCCAAATGCAGATTTAAAAATCGATTTTCCTTTAGATGAAGATGTTCGTGACGGGGGAGGGGGAGCGTTGCTATATTGTGCACGAAACTCATTAAATAAGGCATAAAATAAAGTACTAACCTCGTTGTATTCCGTTTTCGGATCTATGGGGTTATCGTCATACATTGGAAATTCACCAAAAAACGCAAGATAATAGAAGTTGAAACAATCTTCCAAATTAGCAAGTCTATAACGAGGATCGAGAATAAATGCAATACCATAAATATGGGGAATATGCGCATAATATTTTAAAAACCTTTCCTTCATAGAATCACAAAAATAATGAACGAAAACGGCATTCTCAAATTCTTTAAAAGCACCAGCGAGATTAACAGCTTCACGAATAAATTGGTTTGCGGTAGGTTTATAAACATGACTAAAAGTTTCAGTAGCATTAAAAAAAATATCAAAACATTACAAATTTTTTCGCAAGTGTCGATCTCAGCCGCGTTTATAATATAGTTATCATGTTCTTTTAAAAAAGCAGGAAAATGTTCTTTATATCTAAGAACAACTTTAAGTAATTTATAAGTACTATTCCAACGAATACTCAAATCTTTAGGAAAAGCAACATATCTCACACCTCTTTCAGTCAAATAAGTTTGCGATTTTAATCTAAGTTGACCATTACCCTAAATACGTCTAATCCCCCCCTTGATTACCTCCATGGAATCTCCTAACGCTTATAAACCGTCTTGCACACATAAATTTATAACATGGCATGCACACCGTTGATGAAAAAATCTACCCATCAAAGTATTGGCACCACACAACTCACGCAATCTAGGTATAGCAGCAGTATTATTAGTAGCATTATCGAAACCAATAGCAAACACCTTATCAATCAAATTATACTCAATTAAAATACGCTCAATCAAAATATAAATATGTTCAGCGGTGTGACGATCATTAAATTCACGAAAAGCAAGAACATGTTTATGCATATTCCAATCCTCATCAATATAATGTGCAGTCAGACCCAAATAATATAAATGATGAAAATCATCCTCCCATATGTCAGAACAAATAGTAACACGCCCATCAAAGTTTGCAAAAAAAAATTGTAACCTTGCCTTTTCCGCATTATAAAGCCTTATTATTTCTTTCTTAACAGTTTTGCGACTATAATTTCTAAATTGAGGATTTAAACTACCTTGTGCATAATCTCTTAAAGCAAGACTTTTAGAAAACAAATAAGGCAAATTTTCTTCACAAATTAAGTTAGCCATACCAGTCAAATTTTGTGCATCATTATAGGAGAAATTACCAAAAGGTTGAGAATTCGCAAACCTCGATATTTGAGTTTGCTTCCCTGTTCCGCCGCCTAATTTTGCATACTCCACGGGGTGCTTTGCCTTATGATGCCTTGCGGCGGATCCGTATCCGCCGGAGGTTCCCAAACTATAATTGTTGTTGCACCACTTGCAAGTTGCGTGCCAATAGCCGGTTTGTGGGTCCTTCCATTTATCAAAATTATTTTTCATTAATTCAGACTTACTTTTTTTATTACCGGTGGCGGTTTGGGATGAGGCAGGCTCGTCGGCATCGTGGCTGCCGGCACCCTCCTCCTCGGCCGTCTCCGGTTCCAATTCCTCCGCATCTTCATCCTCAAGCTCCTCTTCGTCAATGGTCGTCGGCATTTGTTGTTGTTGTAGAAAGCGGTTATTATGTCGGGCCAATTCTTGTTGGAGTTGTTCTTCAGACATCGCATCTCCATCTCGCCTTTGGTAACCCGTTTCAAAATCATCTCGGCTTTGAGATGAAGAACCGGCAAGTTCTTTACCTTTGCGGGATTTCTTCCTCCCAATCTCGTTCCTTCGATTGCGTTGGAGGTTACCCAAATCAACCGAATATCTACCACCTTCCATCTTAAAAATGTAACAAATATTAATTGACAACCAATATAATAATGGATACAAAACTAATGCAACTAATTAAAACTATTTTAATTAATACTTCAAACTAATTTAGTGCAAAGTAGAATTAATGTGTGACTTTAAAATTAAAATTATACCAACTTTTGAAGTACTTTAATTTAGTAAAAACTACTTAAATAAAATGTTAAGTACTTTAATTAAATGATTGAACTACTATTTCTTCCTACAAATATAAATTGAAAATAAGAAAATGTGACTTTAACTATAATGAATTAATGACAATTAACTAGTTTATTGAAGTAAAGTTGTTTTAACAATTAATGAGAATACTAATGAAGTAAATAACTAGTATAATGAAAATTGTAACAACAATGCTAATTAACTAATTAACTAGTATAATGACAGATGTAACAAGAATGCTAATAAACTAATTAACTAGTATAATGAAAAATGTAACAATAATGGTAATGAACTAATTAACTATTATAATCATAAATGTAACAAGAATGCTAATTAACTAATTAACTAGTACAATACTAGTTATAGTAAGTAATATATAATGTAATGTTTATAGTATATAATATATAAGTATACTACTATAAGATGAGTAATACACTTATATTGTATACTTTAATACATAAAGTATATATTAAGTAGATGTAGAATGTATGTATTAAGTGGATATAATAATTGTATAAGAATTAAATATTAGAGTATAATGGAGAATTGGAGATTGGAAAATAAGAAAATAAGTATATATATAAAATAGATATTATAAAGTATATATAAAAGTAGATATTATAAAATAAGTATATATAAAATAGATATTATTAAGTAGAGAAGTAGATATTATTATGTATTAAGTATATAGTAATAGTTTATAAAGTATATTTAATACTTTATTATATAAAGTATATATTAAGTAGATGTAGTATGTATGTATGTATTAAGAGATATAAGTAGAGAATAAGTAGATAAGAAATATAAGTAATATAGTATATGTATTTATAAGTAGATAATTAATATATAAGTAGATATAATAATTGTATAAGTATTAAATAGTAAAATAAAATATAAAGGAGAATAAGAGAATTTGAGAAGATGAATATGGAGAATTGGAGATGAGTAGAGAGTAGGATTTAGGGAGAGTTGGAGAAGAGGTGTGAAAAAATGTTTAAAATTAGGAGTATTTATAGGTTTTTTTAACCCCCACCCCCCACCCCCACCCCCCACCCCACCCCCCACCCCAAAGGCCCCGGACCCCCCTTGGTACCCACCCAACGGCTATATAGCCGTTTGGGAAGTGGCTGTTGAGCCAAAATGGGTTTTTTAAAATTAAAAGAATTTTTTTTTTTAAAAAAAAATGACCGTTAGGCCCGGGCCCGGGCCCGACCCGCCCGGGCCACCAAAAACAGAACCCGAGCCCGGACCCGCTTCTCCCACCGGTTCGGTGCCCGAACCGGACCCGGACCCGAGAACCGGGCCGGTTCCGGGCCCATACAGTGACGGGCCGGGCCGGTCCCGGGCCGGGCGGCCCGAACCGGGTCCACCACTAGTCTCAACTCTCAAGTGCAAATCTGCAATGCTTAGGACAGGTTTCAGTTTGGGTTCGGTCACTAAAAAATCAAATCCGTTGCCCGTTTTTACAGGTGCTGACCATAAATGGAGCTAGAAATTAACCCATTGGTTTTGGACCTTTGGCTCGTAGTCTCGTTCAAAATACAATAACTGAACTAGAACCATTGTGTTCTATTGAGGCTCTGGCTGGCCGTAAAGGTCAGTCAGAACCATAACTTAACTGGTAGCAGACCTGCCCTTTTCCTAACTCGAGAGGTGTTAGGATGTTTTTATTGGACTGTTTTCAAACTTAGACCAGATCAAATTTAAACAGATCAGACCAGATCAGAGTTTAACAGAACAGACTAGATCAGATTTGACTTCTGTAGTTATAAAATATGTACAGACCAGATGTTTACCAGACGACTTCCTTAGTTATAAAATACACAGAGACCAGACATTTATCAGACTAGTTCAGACCAGATCAGACTTAAACAAACTAGACCAGAGAAGATCAGACCAGGCCATTACATTACGGTCCAAGTAAAAATGCGAATTTTTACATTACAGATCAGACCAGACATTTAACAAGGACTCAGGAGTGGGAGAGTTATTTGGAAGGGGATTTACGTTGCTCTAAAATGTGAATCATATATTTTGGCTTTAAAAATTATAAATATGTTTTCAAACAATTGTTTCTATTTAAATCAATTAATTTAGAGCTAATCACGGAGGCAGGTGGATAAAGAGTGCTTTTTATCTGTTTTTAAACTAACTCTATTTCCCAAGCATTGGCAATTTATAATACGTACGTAGTATTAATTATTTTTCAGATAATCTCTAAAATTAATTAGAAGTAAACACAAATATTCTCTTAGGTAGTGTTTTCCTTTGTTTAAAGCATTTTTCCAGTTTTTCAGCTCTCACATTAGTAAAAATGGTGTTTTCAAACTCCTTTTTTATTTAGATTAAGTAGTTTAAAATTAAAAGATAAAAACATGGATGTTTTAAAATTATCTCTCTTTTCCTATTACGCAAAAAGTATTTTTCACCTCACATTAACTTTTAGTTATTCCAAACACTACCAATTTTGACTATTAATAGATTTGCATATGCTCTCTAAAATAAATCACTTTTAAAGAGTACGGATGTTTTTACTTGAACTAGAATTTTCTGGTCTGGTTTGATCTGGTCTGATAAATGTCTGGTCTCTGTATATTTTATAACTGTCCAAGTCTAGTCTGACTTAGTTTGATCTAGTCTGGTTTGAGACTGAAAACAGTACAGGTAAAAACATCCTAAAAACAAGTGCAAATACTATAGGAAGCATTAAAGAGTGTCTCAATCACTCAGTGTCATTGAGAGCTCTTTATTTCACTAATTTTTTTACGTGAGTTGGTTTACTACTTTCTCTATTCCAAAAGGTGAAATCTCCCACCCCAGGAGCCCCCACACCCGACCGAACAGAATGGTGGACGAGTAAGTCACGTTGATTCAGTCGGCCCAATGGTGGTAGACCTTATACTCGTGTGCATCAGAGGTCCAGCCTAGCACGCATGAGCTGTAACCTACACGGCTGGCGGTCCGCTGCAGGTTTCGATCTTTGGTCATTGTTCCCAATTTCCTATCACTGAACCAACTGAGCTACTTGTGCGGGTTTGTTTACTACTTTCTCTAGTGGCTCTTTATTTCAAAATAGGCTAAAGGATCAAATAGGCCCTTGAACTAACTTAAAATGTTCAATTAGCCCCTTATATAGGAGGTTCAGCCCGGCCATCGCCAATTGGGGAGGTTCCCGGTGGAATTTTTTGATGAAATATTTTGAGCATCTTCTTCATTAGGTCTAGCTTACCCATATCAAATTTCAGCTAAAAATTAAATCGGGAAGGCAGTTAAATGATTTTCCGAAATGTACTGCGCTGTTTAACTGCGCAGTTATCTTCAAAAAATCATTTGACTGCCTTCCCGGTTGAAGTTTTAGCTGAAATTTGGTATGAGTAACCTAGACTTAATGAAGAAGATGCTAAAAAATTTCATCAAAAAATTCCACCAGGAACCGCCCCAATTGGTGATGACTGGACAGAACCTCCTATATAAGGGGCTAATTGAACACTTTAAGTTAGTTCAAGGACCTATTTGACCCTTTAGCCTAGATATATTTAAAGTATTACTACATATATTTTAATTTTTAAAATAGAAATAACTGTCGAGTTTGGAAAATATTGTCATATTTAACGCCTAGTAATGCCAAAATATGGCAATAATTACTTTTATTTATGAAATAAAAAACAGGAGTCATATTTTGGAATTCACAAGTATTTTTACTCCTATTTGAGACGATTTTTGAAATGTTAATGATTAATATTAATGTAGAGAAAGAAGTAGACATTTTGCATGTTTTATTTTGAACGTTCTTACTTAATCACATAATTTCAAGGTAGCTTATTATGGCGTTATAATGAGAGGAATTTCCCTAAATGGATTAAAACGCTGTTAATTTTCTCAAATAGGAGTATCATTGTTCTTCCTAAAATATGACTCATGCACTGTTATTAAGGGAAACTTTTATTCTTTTGTTCTTCTAATAGTACCTTATAAGTCATATTTTGGGAAGAAAATATGTTTAGTTCTATTTTAATAGGACAAAATATATTGCTCCGGCAATTTCTAATATATCCCAACATTATTATTTAGAAATTGTTCAAAATAGGATCGAAAGATAGGAAAAGTCCTAAAGTTGAATTAAATATGTTTTCTTCGTAAATAAGAGATAACTTGGTCCTATTGAAAGAGTAAAAGAATACAAAAAATCCTTCAATATGGTGCATAAATTCTATTTTGTGGAGAAAACAATGAGTTGGCCCTAGGGGGAGGTAAAGAGGGGAGACCGCCCTAGGCGCAAAAATTGTAATTTTTTAGACCTAATAAGGTTTTTTTGCCTCAAATGGGACTAAATTATTCCTGATATTCCTAAAGAGGACTATCTATAATTTTATTCCCTAAATGGGACTAGATTACCTTTATCCCCTATTTTATTTCTTTTCCCTTAGCTTGCGCGACACGGGCCATTCTACTTGCGTGTCTTATCTTTCCTTCCCTGCGCATCTTTGCCATCTGTTGCGGCAAACTTTCTCCATTCGCTGCAAATCTTCTCTTCTCCTTCAAACATGAATAGCCAAACCCAGAAGTCCAATCAAAGCCATCTCCGCCGCCACTGGAAAGTTCGTTGCTATTGCTCGCCGCCGCAGATCGAGTTTCCTTCTTTAAGGTCCGCCTCTTCTCCGATATTCTCCCTGTCCTTCCCCCTCTTCTCTAGTTCTCTCTTCCCCCTGCTATTAAGTTACATATGCTAATTGAAACTTAAAAAATGCCAGATTAAAGTCTGAAAATGCCATCAAAATGGCATTCGTATTCTTCAAAAAATTTGGTCTATTCTTTAAAAATGCCATTAAAATGGAATTCTCGATTTATGTTGGCATTTTGATAAAAATAGTGGCATTTGCGTTGATAACAAACAGATCTACAATGGTGGAGGCCATATCTGCAACCACAGATATCAGATTGACTATGATGGTGGCCGAATCTGTTAGGGCAGTGGCCGGCAGACGGCGGAAGATAGATTTGGCTAGATCTCCGGTGGTGCCAGCCAAATCTGCAGCGGCGATAGCAAGATCTGCAATGGCGGTGGTTCGATCTGCAGTGGCGGCCAATTTTGAGGCGGCGCCCATGTCCGGCGACCGGCGGTGAGCGACGGCGACGTCCGGCGACTGGCGGCGTTCCAGCATTGTGGTTGGTGGCAGTATTATTTCCAGGCTTCACAGGGGTGTTTTTGTCAAATTACAATTAATAACTACTATTTAAGGAATTTTTATACTTTAGTCCTATTTTGGCTATTAAAGATTGATTTACTCCTGTTGAGGTAAATACCTCACCTAATAATTGTTTTTTATCCTTGCCCGTGGCCGCATGGGTCTTTCAATTTTATATGTATCGTTCCAATTTTATTTCCCTTTTAGGCCTAAGCTTTTAATAATTTAAATGTACTTTTGCGATAAATATATTAGTACAAAATTTGTTTAAATCATCAAGAGTTTTTTTTCGAATTCTGCACAACCCCAACAAGTCAATACATAACTAAGTAAGTGTTGGTATATATTCATTCTTCTTAAATCTTAGTAGTACAACTTTGGGTGTGTTTGGCATTTAACGGTTAGCGATTAGCGGATAGCGGATTATGTAAGCGGGTTGTTAACAGCGGATTCAATCAGCGGAATAAAATTGGCGGGTTTCATAAGATGTTTGGTAATTTAGCTGTTTGGCCATAAAATTAATGCAAAACGCCATTTTTCAAAACGCTAACCCAAAACTCTCCTCAAAAAATGCTAGTGCCGAACCGTTATTTACCAAACAACGTTTTCACTCATCAAAAACGCCAAAAGTGGTCAAACCGTCATTTTTTTTATTGAAACGCGATTTACCAAACACCCTCTTTATCTATTCATTTTGTCACATTTTAATAGGACAAAATATATTGCTCCGGCAATTTCTAATATATCCCAACATTATTATTTAGAAATTGTTCAAAATAGGATCGAAAGATAGGAAAAGTCCTAAAGTTGAATTAAATATGTTTTCTTCGTAAATAAGAGATAACTTGGTCCTATTGAAAGAGTAAAAGAATACAAAAAATCCTTCAATATGGTGCATAAATTCTATTTTGTGGAGAAAACAATGAGTTGGCCCTAGGGGGAGGTAAAGAGGGGAGACCGCCCTAGGCGCAAAAATTGTAATTTTTTAGACCTAATAAGGTTTTTTTGCCTCAAATGGGACTAAATTATTCCTGATATTCCTAAAGAGGACTATCTATAATTTTATTCCCTAAATGGGACTAGATTACCTTTATCCCCTATTTTATTTCTTTTCCCTTAGCTTGCGCGACACGGGCCATTCTACTTGCGTGTCTTATCTTTCCTTCCCTGCGCATCTTTGCCATCTGTTGCGGCAAACTTTCTCCATTCGCTGCAAATCTTCTCTTCTCCTTCAAACATGAATAGCCAAACCCAGAAGTCCAATCAAAGCCATCTCCGCCGCCACTGGAAAGTTCGTTGCTATTGCTCGCCGCCGCAGATCGAGTTTCCTTCTTTAAGGTCCGCCTCTTCTCCGATATTCTCCCTGTCCTTCCCCCTCTTCTCTAGTTCTCTCTTCCCCCTGCTATTAAGTTACATATGCTAATTGAAACTTAAAAAATGCCAGATTAAAGTCTGAAAATGCCATCAAAATGGCATTCGTATTCTTCAAAAAATTTGGTCTATTCTTTAAAAATGCCATTAAAATGGAATTCTCGATTTATGTTGGCATTTTGATAAAAATAGTGGCATTTGCGTTGATAACAAACAGATCTACAATGGTGGAGGCCATATCTGCAACCACAGATATCAGATTGACTATGATGGTGGCCGAATCTGTTAGGGCAGTGGCCGGCAGACGGCGGAAGATAGATTTGGCTAGATCTCCGGTGGTGCCAGCCAAATCTGCAGCGGCGATAGCAAGATCTGCAATGGCGGTGGTTCGATCTGCAGTGGCGGCCAATTTTGAGGCGGCGCCCATGTCCGGCGACCGGCGGTGAGCGACGGCGACGTCCGGCGACTGGCGGCGTTCCAGCATTGTGGTTGGTGGCAGTATTATTTCCAGGCTTCACAGGGGTGTTTTTGTCAAATTACAATTAATAACTACTATTTAAGGAATTTTTATACTTTAGTCCTATTTTGGCTATTAAAGATTGATTTACTCCTGTTGAGGTAAATACCTCACCTAATAATTGTTTTTTATCCTTGCCCGTGGCCGCATGGGTCTTTCAATTTTATATGTATCGTTCCAATTTTATTTCCCTTTTAGGCCTAAGCTTTTAATAATTTAAATGTACTTTTGCGATAAATATATTAGTACAAAATTTGTTTAAATCATCAAGAGTTTTTTTTCGAATTCTGCACAACCCCAACAAGTCAATACATAACTAAGTAAGTGTTGGTATATATTCATTCTTCTTAAATCTTAGTAGTACAACTTTGGGTGTGTTTGGCATTTAACGGTTAGCGATTAGCGGATAGCGGATTATGTAAGCGGGTTGTTAACAGCGGATTCAATCAGCGGAATAAAATTGGCGGGTTTCATAAGATGTTTGGTAATTTAGCTGTTTGGCCATAAAATTAATGCAAAACGCCATTTTTCAAAACGCTAACCCAAAACTCTCCTCAAAAAATGCTAGTGCCGAACCGTTATTTACCAAACAACGTTTTCACTCATCAAAAACGCCAAAAGTGGTCAAACCGTCATTTTTTTTATTGAAACGCGATTTACCAAACACCCTCTTTATCTATTCATTTTTCTTACTAACTACTCCATAATATTTATTGTGTCATTGTGTGTGCTTCTTTGCAATTTTATTAATTTGTTAAAAATGTTTCATTTTTGCAAATTTATAGTTACTCCATTCTTTAAAAAAATAAGGTAGTAATTACGTAGTCTCCAGATCGTTTGCTTCGGCTCTTTCTCTCTTTAGGGTGGGTTTCCACCGCTAGAGTTTTTCCTCCGCTATCGTTTTTAACCAGGAGCGGCCGCCGTAGGCGGGCTTAGGCGTACAGGGTTTCTTCTCCCACCATCAATTGTGCGGCAATTTTTCTTCTTTTGCTATGGCGAGATTAAGCGGAGGGAAGAGGATGCTTGGTCTCAGGCGGTCGAAGATTGTGCAGGGACGGAAGATGGATGTTTGGTCTCTGGCGGCCAAAGATCATAGACGAAGTGTGGGCCTAGAGGCTGGAGCAGATCTAGATTCGAGGTCATTGTGTTAGGTGGCGACAAAAGAGGCTTGGTAGAAAACATGATGAAGAGGAGACAAGATGAGGAAGAAGCTTAAGTACTGCTGGATCCTCCCCTCCTGAACCGCCGCCGTGGAGTGCAGGAGAGTCTAGGGTTTGGGCACATCTTTTTAATTTTACTGTTTGTTTGCGATTTATTTTTCATGATCAAACTGCTTATTTTTCTGTTGATTACTTTTATTATTGTAAGTCTCCTGCATTAGGATTGAGTGATGGGAGGTCTGCTTTAACCGTCTTTGGCTCATTTATGCCCATTATAGGATCAACGAGTTATATTGCTTTTTTTGAAAGTGATTGACTCTAATTCTGGTTCGAGGGCTGACGGTTGTCTGTGATCCTTTTGTCGTTTAACTCCCTATCTTAATGCTAATGTTGTGATATCAATTTAAGCCCTCTTCTTCCAAAAAAGTTACTCCATTCTTTTTAAATTTCAATTTCCGAAGGTGTTTGCTATGATGAGAATTTTCTCCACAATCTTCTACAAAAGTATTTTCTGATTCCTGACTTCTAGTGGATTATTATGTTGTTCTTTTTGTAAAAATACTTCGTATACAATTAATGGTCTCATTAGAAAGTAGTTTTTCTTTGTTATGACCTTATACAGTTATACTACGTACATGACAACTTGATGAGGAAGTTCATGAACGTTTCGCTGGCCTCTAGGCCTTGAGAAAAACAATGACCACTCCAGAAATTAAAACAATGTAAATCTCAAGCATTTTGAATTAACTTTAGCTATTTGAAATGGTTGAACTGAACTATCACCAGTGGCTTCCAAACTCTTACTGACTTTAAGCATTTAATTCACCAGTTTAAGTTTAGAGAATGATTATATTGGACGGATTATTAAGCAATTAGAAAATAGAAATACGAAAAGCTTGAGTGGAATTGCATAATGGTAGGCCTAAAGAAGTACTGTACTACAAACGAGTGAAAGCTTGGTAGGTAACCGCGTGGACATGTCAACATTCTCAAACTAATTGTCTGGTGGTTCATTACTTCATTCGTTAATCAATAGAATAATGTCGCCTCACTCCTTGCCAACTGTTGAATTTTTAATGTAACTTTTTGTAATGTTTTCTGTACTATCTTGCGATATAAACAAAAATGTTTTTGACTTTTGTAGATGCTACTAGTATTATACGGCAAAATATATCATACACCCGGATGTACCGTGTGATTTGGTACATCCAGGTATTTTTGTAATTACTTATAAACTTGAGGTGGTTAATTACGGAGCATGGCATTTGCTACTCTTCCTTGTCGCTGCTCTTTCGTTTGTTCTTTTTCCTTTTCTTAATAGTTACGAGTAATTTACACTTTTTCCTTATCCACTTATCATTTGGTTGCTCCTTCTCGTTTTTCCTTTTTACCTTTTTATAGTTCTCGTTTTTCTGTTTTCTTATCTTTTAATTTTGAACTTTAAGTTTTCTATGTTTAAGTTTTTATTTTCTTTTTCATGCTTTGGTTTTTCTTTTTTCTTTTCCTTTAATTTTGAACTTTATTTTTTCTAACTTTAACATTTCTTTTTCTTTTTTCTGCTTCATTTGTTTCTTTTTTCTTTTTGTATATACTTTTGTCTTCCGGTTCTCTAATTTTGAACTCTTACTTTTTTATTTTTATGTAATTTTTCTACAATATGTTTTTCATGCAATTCTTTCAAAAATTCATATTGAATAGCAATTCAATAAAAACATATACTTTTCTCACTCTTCTATTAAAAGCTCCAATCTTCTAAATAATTATGAATATATTATTTAATTTAAATGTGCATTGATAAATGAATATACACAAATGAATATTTGAACACATTAGAGATTTCAATTGAACTTTTGAATTTTTTTGATGCTCATTTTGTAAGTTATGAATGCTCATCTGGTATTGGTTAAATGCTCATTTGTAAGTTACATATGCTCATCATCTGGTATTGGTTAAATGCTCATTTTAAAATGTCATATCAATGCATATTTTAAAATGTCATATCAATGCATATTTCAAGTCATATTAGAGATCATGATACTCAATTAAAACGTTTTGATGCTCACTCAACTAAAAAAACTTATGATTGTCATACTAATGCTCATTTTATAATTTATGAATGCTCAATCAGTACTCAATTGCACGCTTCTAATACTCAATAGAGGAGGTTTGATGCCCAATGAAAAAATGTCTTCATGCTCAACTAACAAAGCTTATTATTTTCATATTAATGCTTATTTTGTAAGTTACATATGCTAATTAAAAGTTCATTAATGCTCATTTAACAGAAAGCGTTATTTTTATCTCAATATAGGAGGTTTGATGCTTAATGAAAATACCGTGACGTCCAACTAACAAACCTCATGATTTTCATATATATGCTCATTTTGTAAGTTACATATGCTCAATTGGTACTCATGTTATGCTCATTTTTAAAATGTCATAACAATGCATATTTTAAAAGTACCATATTATATTCGATTCACATATTGAAATTCATATGAATTGATTATAGTTATAATTTAATGAGTTTTTATAAAAGAAAAAAAAAAGAAAAAAGAAAGTGAATTACAATATATGAAATTGATATCGCATTACTCATTATTCGACTCTTAATGCTCAATAGAATACATCTGATGCTCATTAACAGGCGATTTGAACTCAATAAAAACGTCTTGATGCTCAATCGGTACTCAATTGCACGCTTTTAATACTCAGTAGAGGAGGTTTAATTCTCAATGAAAAATGTCCGTATGCTCAACATATTAATGCTTATTTTGTAAGCTACATATGCTCAATCGATACTGATATTATGCTCATTTTTTATGAAGCACAGATCACGATTTTGAATATTAGACTTCTAATACTCAATATAATAGGTCTGATGCTCATTAAAAGTTCATTAATGCTCATTCAACAGAAACCGTGAATTTCATCTCAATAACGAAGGTTTGATGCTCAATTAAAATGTTGTGATGTTCAACTAACAAAATAACTAAAAAAATTCATTAATACTCATTTTGTATGTTACGTATGCTCATCAGGTAATGATGTTATGCTCATTTTGTAAATGTCATATCAATGCATTTTTAAAAGTACTATTCTAAATTACATTTACATAATGGAATTCATAGGAGTTGATTATAAAGATAATGTAATAAGTTTTTATAAAAGAAAAAATAACAAAAAAAGAAAGTGAATTAGAAGTTATGAAGCAGAGATCATGATTCTGAATATTGGACTCCTAATTCTCAATATAAAAGGTTTGATGCTCATTAAAAGTTCATTATTACTCATTTGTTACTAATGTAATGCTCATTTTTACAATTCATATCAATGCATATTTCAAAAGTATCAATAGTGGAGGTTGAAAAATCAATTAAAATGTCACGATGTTCAACTAACAAATGTTACGATTTTCATATCAATGTGCACTTTGTAAGTTATGTATGTTCATTTGGTAATCATGTTATGCTCATTTTTACAATGTCATATAAATATAATTTTCCTTTTATAAAAACTTATTAAATTATATTTCTAATCAACTCCTATGAATTTCAATATGTGAACCTAATGTAAAACAGTACTTTAAAGAAAATATGTTGATATGACATTTAGAAAATAAGCATAAGATCAATACCAGATAAGCATGCACATCTTACAAAATGTTCCTAGATATGAAAATCGCAAAGTTTGTTAGTTTGAATAACAACATATTCATTGAGCATCAAATATCATATATTGAGATGAAAACACTGTTTCTGTTAAATGAGCATTATTAAACTTTTAATGTGCATCAGACCTATTATGAGCATTAAAACAATTTTGATGAGCATCACGCTTATTAGGAACCTAACACTATATAAAAAAAAAATATAAATATATTTATATAAATTAATACTATCATTCATAGATCAAATAAATACTTCAAAAATATGAATTACTCTTTTAATGAAGTAATAATGAGAAAAGGCAAAAGAATAGTTAATATTATAATTACTATTAATAAGATAAAAGAACTAAATATTACAACAAGATGACTTGGTG